TCCAGAACCCAGAGAAGTTTGAAGATAAAATTACATGCTTTTACAAACCAGCCTGGAGGCTGCTATGCTTCAAGCACAGCCTGTTTTAAGTCAGCTTTAAGTTAACTCCACTTCAGCCTAGAATATCCTAGGACACAATCTTTGAAGTTAGAAGGCTTTGAAAAGCTGTCTGGTATGCTCTAAAATGAGTAAATAGCCTGTTATCTGAGGTTTTGTGAACCTACGTTGTATGCTTCAAAGAATGTAGGATTAGTCCCACTTCACAAAATACTGATTTCTGAAGGTTCTTTACACCTGTCAAGAGACTGAGTTTGTCAGTCTTAATTTTTAAGATGATTATAGGTAGATTATAGGTAACAACAAATAAACCCACCAGTTATGTGTCTATTGGAATATTATAAGAGGAGGAAGGTAAAATTGAAACCTAAGGAAACTAAGACACTTAAGAAATTAAGCAAATCTGAAACATTGTGGAAAATAATTCAAAATAGGTTCATGCATCAGCGCATTATATCTGTAATAGTACAAATGCAGAATTAGAGGTGTTACTGCATTGCTTTATCATTAATTCCCAGTTAGAGCTTGTATTAATTGATACGTACAAAGAGCTTTCAACAGTTTTCAGTAGACCAGTACCAGGTGTACAGAAAAGTAAGACCTTGATCTGCATTCGATTGCATATGGGGATTTTACTCACAATTACCACAGATAGGGGTAAAAGAGACATTTTAATGAGTTCTAATTGATGTTTTAGATTGGAGTGTGCCATCTGCTGCTGTGTAATACTAATGGTTATGTCTGCTGTAAATTTGGCTTTCTCCCTGTTTCACTTCAGAGTCTTGGTCTCTGATCATCTACACTGCATTGTAATGATAGTTTACTCCAACTGCGGCACAGCTAACAAGATAATTCACTCCAAATGCCAGATGAGGCAGTTTCAGACTGCACCAAGTTTGTCCTATCAGCTCAAGATAATTCTTCAAGACTTTGCAGACATATAGTCACAAACATATACATGTAAATATAGAGGGACAAATATACAATGAAAATTAATTATTCTCCACCAATTTAACTTGCATAGAGTAACTTGTCTCCAGATCTGGTAGCATCAACAAATGGGCCCTTTTATAAGGACTTTTGAAATGTTAGTTACTGTGTCACTCATGAAAGGGATAGGAAGAGCTTCCAAGTTCAGTTGAAAATTCTTTTCAAAGCTGTTTAAACATACAAATCTAATTTAATGTCTGTATGAAAGGAGTGAAAATGCCAGAGTGTAGCCAAAAGTGGCATCTCTGGAGAATAAGTGGTTTTAAACACTTATCTGAGTAGTACACATGTACCGTTATGGTGAAACAGAATTAAGTGATATGAAAAATACTTTTGTCCTTCATATCATCCATCATCTCATCTGTTCTCTGGTTGATGTGATGGACAAACTAATTAGAACTGAAATCAAACAGTAAGACTAGATCTACAAAAAGGCACAAAGAAGTGCAAGAAGGATGGTACTTGGGGGGGTGTCTTTGCAATAGATGTTATGGATGCTGAGAGCTCAATGGACTCAAAAAGAGATGGGACAAGTCCATCGAGAGCCATTAAATATGACTCCTCCTTTGGTATAGTACATCCCTGAGCCACAGAGGGTGGGAGTTTTGCAAGACTTTTTGCCAAGGATTTGAAATGTCATCTCCTAGATTTCCTAGTGTTACCTTAGTATAATTCAGGGAATTCTGTTGTTTATGTTTCTTAGCTGCAACTTCAAATGCATCTGGAATTTGTGTCTTCATAACTCCTTATTCTGCACTTTGGGTGAGAAGTCAGCATTAATACTTTCAACTGAAAATTCCTGTGCTCATATATTAACCAAGCTTTGCCTCAATTTTTAATCAGAAGGCAAACTGACTCCTTTAATCTTTCTTTAATTGAAAGTTATGGAAAATGCCACTTGACATGCATAAAATGAGCAGCAAAGTTTTCCAAAATGAAAAGACTTCTTTTTATACTTTCATCTCTGGTATTAATGCAATCAGAAATATTACTTCATGAATAGAAATTACAATACATTACTTGAATAGAGTTTAATTGTCTCTAGAATTAAATGGTAAAATTCTTGAGTAGATGCAGTTTCAGGCTGTTGCTTTTAGGAATTCAATCTTAGATTAGTGCCAAGGTGTTCTAACTAGATTAAGGGTTCCTGAGCTAGGAATGCTTTTGAATTAATTCAGCATCTGCCCGAACCAAAGCATTTCTTCTAGCACTGGTTAGCTGCAGTTTCCAATTTTTACTTCACAGGGTACGAGTCCTAGATAGATTAGCCTAAAACATTGGGCTTAAAATCAAACTGCGTAAATGAGAAGGAATTTTTTTCATGTGTTACACACTATAAAGGGAATGAAGGAAATGCAAATCACAGTTGCCTATGCTTAATAGAGCCTTTATGACAGAGCATGGAAATTTCAGCTTTGCTCCTGGGTTACTAAGTTAGCACAATGCCTGGCTTCTTGAATATGTTCTCTTTATGAGCAAAAAGAGTGTATCAAGTTGCATTGCTGTGATTCCCAGAGCTCTTTTTTCTCAAAGTAAACCTGCAAATATTAATCTTTCAGGTTTTTCAAAAAGATTTATAGCAGGAAAATGTCGGCATCAACACCAGATAAATTTATGCCTTCACTCTGAACTCTGGTGACTTGCAAACAACTGTTTGCTAATGGTATAGTTCAGTTAGATGCAAAATGCATTCATATGTATTTGAAATTTAATCAAAACGTTTGCTCTTATCAGCTATTGTTAGAAAAACACTTTGCCTGTATCATATGAATCATTTCTATGAAGCAAACTCAATTCTAAAGTAATAAAATAATTATGAATATGCATTTAAAAAAACATTGAGTACATTTTATTCCTAAACCTTAAGGCCAGATGCCTACAATTGAAAGAAGATGCAAAAGGCAACATATGCTGGGACAAAGCAGAAATTCCATCTGGGCAATAGAGTATTTTAGTGAATACCTGAGTGTCTTCATTGTTAAGACTTCTCAAATGTCGGGCACTTCTTTTGAGGGAATGTGCATGGATGATAAAAAAACCCCAAACAAACCACAATCGATCTCCTTAGTATAGGCACCTGATATGTTAAGTATTGCTAAAAGTATTGCACAGGAGACTAAGTATAAGTAGGTCTGTATAATGGCAGCATTATGAAAGACTTTATTTTCCATATGAATATGCTGTTGCAGAACTGGACTATGGAAACTTGGGAGCTTTTAAAATGGAAGGTGATGATCCCAGCCTTTCTGAATGGCTATAACCCTTCTCCATTGTAATTTCTCCAAAACATAGCTTTATGGAAATGAAAAGGAAAAAATCTGAATAAAATATATATAGTGCAGTTTTCTTTTTTTTTCCTAGCAAGTCTAAGTAATTTTAAGTTACTTTTCAATTACCTAAGCATTTTAAAAATATGATACATAGAGAGATTATTTTAAAGGATGCATGAAGAAGTTGTGTAAAATAATCTTCTTTGGTTACTTAGGAAGTTTGTTTACTTTAGTTAGTATAAAGTGGCATTATTACAGAACACCATTGAAGAAAAGCACCTATGGGCCTTAACCTGCAAAGACTTAATGCGTGTGCTTATATCTAACCATCCATAGGGCCCCCTTGCAGAAACTGAGATTATGATACATTTTTGAAAGATAGAGGAAAAAATAAAATAAGTAGTACAGTTTGAAAAATGTTTGTTCCCATCTTTAATATGTCTATTCCAAGAGACGTTAAGGACAGGAGTCAAACTTGACTGTCAATAGAGCTCAAAGCCTAATCACAAATTTCAGATATGACAAACACAACAGCATTTGTGGAAGAGGAAAAAGGTTTACCCAAAGATTGTTCTACAGTACCATATCCAGTCTCGAATGCTCATGCAATTGTTATTGCCTGCTGAATTTTCATGGCTAAAAAGCATCTTAAGAAGAATATAATGCAAACTTGTCATTATGAACAAAAAAGCCAGAATAATTCCTCTACCACAAGAGACATTTCCAATAAGTTCCAAGTCAGAATTATTTTTGTAACTTACCAAAATGTCTTTTTGCACCTGAATGCTACACACAAAACCAGTTTCCCTGTGTTTTAAAATACCTGTTTTTCTGAATAGGCCTTTTTAGATTTCCATGGGTATGATTCTTAAGTCCATCTTCTGAGAGGTATAATGAGCTCGCTAAGAATAGACAGTGGAAAAGGCCTTTATAGGAAAGCTTGTATGAGTCTATAAAGAGTGTATTTAAAGCTCAATTGCTTCAGCCTCACTTAAAAAAAAAAAAAAAAAGTCAGTAACAGCTTTTTAAACTTCATTTAACCTTGATCTTGATATAGCTTTTGTTCAGAACTGTTTCTGGAATATTTCCATGTTTCCACTATGTTTCTAAAATTTGATTTCAGTTTTTCATTTTCCTAAAATTGTGTTCATGTTTTTACACAAATTCATTCTCATTTATTTCATTTTGAATTAATTTAAAATGTCTGACTGCGTCCAACTGTAGTATTTCAGGAAAAACATATTGGAATTTCATATTACAGAAAAAATAATATTGCTTGTACTGTTGAGATACATAGTACTGTTTCTTTTCTCAAAGGATCATTCATGTAGCTAGGATATATATAAACTAAAAATCCTAATATTTCAACATACTTTGTAAACATCATTTTAATTAGCGAGATCTGAAATTTAGTTCATGTTCTAGGTATTAAAGAACAGAACTGCTGCAGTGCTCCGTTTATGTTTGATCTGAATGCTAGGTTCACGCAGTATTTTGTTTTAGAGTATGTATTAGAAATGCAAAGTAAATGTGGCCAGTGCCTTCTTTCTTGTATTGTTCTTTGAATACTGAAGGAATGCATAGAATGCTATCTCACCTGAATGATTAAATTCTCTTTTTCTGTGACTCTTCATTGCTATTACTATAGTGATCTACTCTATAAGATCATCTTATTTCTTGCAGATGAATGATGCTATGGGATTTGAATTGCCATGGGTGTATTTTGTCAGTCTCGTCATCTTTGGGTCATTTTTCGTACTAAATCTTGTTCTTGGTGTATTGAGCGGGTAAGCATACACCTTTTTCATCATGAAGGCAGAGTCCTGAATTCAGTTGCCATGAACACACAGGTTATCTTATACAGGTGAGACTTCAGTTGTGATGACATCTTTTAATAAACCTCTGTTTCTTCCTCCTCTAATTAGAATGGAAACAGTTTTCTGTAGCTGTCAAATAAATAATATACAAATACCAAAATCAGAGTTTTAGATGTACCAGTATATATTCTTCACATCCATAATTGTGGCAAAATTATAAAAAGGACTAATAATTCTCCTGCACTTATTTAAATGTTATTTTAATTAATCTTCTAAGGCATCACATCTACAACATAATTGGGGTAAGTAAAGAAATGAAACAAATGTTCATTGATTTTTTTTTTTTTTTTTAAAGAACTGAATAAGCCATAAACTTTCAGTGTTGAAACCTACGTGATCTGGCACCTGCAAAAAGGACTCTGCTGTTTAATGAATGACTGAATCATAACTTATTTCCTTACATTTTACAGGTAAATGATGCAATAGGATGTGAATGGCCATGGATCTATTTTGTTAGTCTTATCATCCTTGGCTCATTTTTCGTACTTAACCTGGTTCTTGGTGTACTTAGTGGGTAAGCAGTTGAGTTAACATTGTGTATGCTACTGCTACTTGTAAGATGGCCTCTGCATTTACTCAAGCTTCTCAGCGATGGCTTTTTTGCATGCACTTGAGATTCTTATGTCATCCTACCAGTGTTTGCTCTTTTGACTGAACTGTGTGATTCTAGTGCCTGTATCTGTCTGACATCACGTTCACCATGCTTGCCAAAAGTATTCATTAAATGAGGCACTAATCTTCTTATTCTGTAATATTCCAGCAGGGAGAAACATTATTTTGCACACAAAGATGGGTGGTACACCTGTACAAATATTCTCCCCTACAGTTGTAGAAAAGTGTCCTTTTCTGAAAGCCCAACGTTTGCTTTTGTTCAAATACCCATAAAGAAATCGAAGTGTTATTTGTGTTTACTAGTCACGTTGCAAAATATTTTTAATGGGTGCTTCAAGATTTTTCTTACGGAAAGAATATGACTAGGTTACCTTGACACAAAGTGTTTAGTGCTTCCTGCATTGTAGAGCTGTGTGCTGCTGTGACAACCTGCACCAGCAAGCTGATATATTTATCAGTAATCAAATATCAATTTAATACACTTGTCAGTGGGAGGTTGTTACAGCTTTTTGCTGGTTTGTGTACTCCAGACTCCAGCCAAGAACTAAAGTGGTGTCAGTTGCAGCTGTATAATGTGATTTAAAACTGTAGTTTATGGCAACAGTTTGCAAGGTTTTCTTCTAACAAAGCCCCCTTACTGAGGTTACAACTCCACGTCCTTTGCCATTTCCTGGTTTCTAACACACCTGAGCTTGGGAAACTCCGGTTTCTAGTAAAGATATTTTCTGATAAATAAATAAAAGATCCTGCTAGCATTTGAATACTAGAAGAAAATGATTATAATTGTATGTATTAGCTTAGCTTTTAGTTATACAACAAACGATATTGTTCTGGCAATCTTAGGCAAGCTGTGCCATCTTTGTTAGCCAACAGAGAAATTTCTCTTGCATAAAAAGCAGCCTGACACTGTGGTTGATGGTGTCATCAGACTGCTGATTGTGTGTGCAGCCCTATTCACGACTTTGCCATGTTGTACATTAGATGTGAAAGGAATTATAATGCATTATTATATTGCTGGAAATCAGGCAATCAAACAGAATTTTCAGTTGCTGATGAGATAACTATGTTAGAAGAACGTTTTTATCTGATGAGTGGTTTTACAATGTGTTTTTTAAAATCATAAGTCATTTAGCTGTGTTAGATTACTGTTGCACACAGGAAAACTAGGGAAAGCATAGTTTTACCTTACTGCCAGAATCACCTTACAAAGCAGATGTTTAAAAGCAAAGAGATAGTGCTAAAAAAAAAAATTGCTGATTTTTAGATTTAATCTCTTCCTTCCAAGACCTGCCCTGTAAAGTCTGATTTATACAGTCATATTGGCTTTGTTTTGTTCAGGGACAAATGTGTAAATTGTTGTAAAACTAAGGGCCTAGCTTTCATATCACAGCCACACTGGAGAAACAAAACAAGAAAGAGAAGGACAGATAAATGAGGGTAGTTGCGGTATAATTTATTTCTTCTTTTGATAGTGTTACCTAATGTTGCTGTGTGACTAGACTTCCCACTGGAATCATTAGAGGATTAGGTTTTCACAGTTCCTTTTCCTGGCCCTTAAGAAGGTCATAAGCAGCAATTAGTTTTCTTCCTGTTGTGTGAAGGTGTCCTGTGGTAACAGTTAACTAAATATTCCCCTTTTCCCTTGCATGACTCGAATTGTTACTGGTTTCGGATTTTTATGTTTTTAAAAATAAGTTGTGGAGAAAGTAATGCCAGATTTGGTATTTTGTTGCACATCTTCATTTCTTCTACTGAAGCCTTGGAAATTGAGACGCACACTCACAGCTAAGCTTTACATTTGATTTAATACATTTAAAATACTTTATAAGGTTGCAACATTATGATATGTATGATATTTGTTGGAATATGGAGCTGCTGTTACAATACAGCGGAAGAGGTGTCCCCTTGTCCTTGGATTCCATTCTGCAGACAAGAAATCACCAGTGATTTCTAGGTATTGCTTGATCCATAGAGCTCTAATGCTCTTCAGAACCCTCGCTGGCTTGCCTTCGATTTCCAGTCAACAGAAATGGCAGTGTCAAGTGTTATGTGATTTCTCCTTAAATTCATAAATTAATTCATTCCTAAATCTATTTTCTGCCATAGTGTTATCTAACTGCAGTGTCACTTGAGTGTCAGGGTGCTTGATGAATTGTTTGAATTCATGTTTGCCCTAAATACATGAAAGAGCCTTCCTAACGCTCCAGTTTTTTGTTTTCTATGCTGAAGAAACTGATACTAGTGAACTGAGACGTGTGATACATAAATGTCACCAATGATTGACATTGAGAGCAAAAAGAGAAAGGAAAAGAGAGTATTGCTAAAAGATACCTATCATACCAAACTAATGTTTGGTACATAAGTGAAGAAAATGTCCTGGCATACTTGTTTTAAACTCAGACAAGGGCTGGTGTGGAATGCTGTTACACTGATTTATTTTGATCACTAAATGCCATTTGTATATTGTGGTGGGTTGACCCTGGCTGGACATAATAAATAATAAATATTTTTCACGTATTTTCTATTTAGACCTACCTGTCGAAATTTTATGGGTAAAAATGACATACTAGTAAAATCCTATGGATGTTTTTGTATTCCTTAGTAGAAAGCTAATATTTTTCATTTTGAGCCAGGCTATGTAACACATGCATTCTTTGTTTTTTATTTAAGAGTTATTAGCTTTTATGTTTTATGCTCTTCAAACCATAGCATGAAACTTGGTTTATGATAAATCTACAAAGAAAGTGAAATTTTACTAAACCAATCAAACTTCAAGAATGCAAAAATTATGCCAACTTACTTGAAAAGCATGGCTTTGCATACAGATTTTGGAAGTGGAATCTGAATGCCTAATACACCTTTTCTGTATCAAAGTGTTACTTTGTGTAATATCAAGTTATGCTGTGTACATTTAAATCTGTCTGCTGTTTTGATCTGTTTTGCGGTTTTAAAATATTCATTCATTCTCTTTGCAATCCTTTGTTACTCTGTGACCATCTGCCCCTTTGTATTCCTGTAATGCCTCTTGTGCACTGCATGTTTGATGTATTTAGATACTGTACAAATGGATGAGAATGATGATTTGGGAGATCTTTTGTTTTACATCTAGCTGTTTCTGAAGGTGAGTATTTCTTGGTAATCCATGTCAGTTTTGCCTGCTGAAGGTGACCTTCTTAAAAATAGAGTTCATATTTTTAATAGCAGATATGTAAATTAATAGGAATAATGTGTGTGTAGAATCTGCATGTGGTAAATATTTTAATTTCTGCATGGAAGTTGACTGTGGAGATTTTTTTTCTAAATATTCCTTTGAATAACAAGGATGGAGAGAGTTCATAGACTTGAGGTGATTCAGCTTTTTCAAAATACTCTGTTCTTTACTCTGTATTAGACACCAGTATTATTCACATTATTCTCAAAGTGAATTCTCAGTTGAAAAGCTGTTTCAGTTTGCAGGACTCTGCAGGAAAAGGCATTCCAGAAAAAGACTGCAGGTCAGGTTTCAGAAATAGCTCCAGATCCAGCTCAGGCTCTAGTCCTATCTCAGAAATTACAGAGCCAGCTTTAAAAAAGACACCAGAAATGGCTCCAGCACCAGCAATGAACTGTACAAGTGTCCTAGACCCACCTCTAGAGATTCTTGCCAGAAACGGGCTCTAGATTCAGCTCTAGAAAGGGATAGTGAGATAAACCCCTCTAGAGCAGCTCTAGTAAAGGCCTCTACAAATTGCTGTGGAAAGGGCTCCGTAACATGCTCTAAAACCATCTCCAACAAATGCTGGTTGGCATTTTGTTCCTTCACATTACAAATTTAAAGCTGTGTGTGGCTCCGAATAATTGTTGCAGCTCCTAGAAATCACACACTCTATTTTGATTGCTACGTCTTTGGGGCCAGCAGCAGGGAGTGGGTTCAGTCTGTAAGAGACACCAGAGCACCTTTTTTTCCTTTGTAAAAATTCCTCTGGTTATGATGCAAGGATTAGGCAGTGCATCTTCAGGGCAGCTCCACACTTGGAATGGCACAGAAATTGCTACTGAGGAGCTGCCCAACCAATTCTAGCTCTATGAAGGGTGGTGGGCTGCCTCAGGAGCCTGCTTTTACGTATAGCTTTAGTTATACACAGTGTGTGTAACAGGCATAAACTGGAACTGTGTTCTCCGAAGTCATGAAATACTAGACACAGAAGCTGGGGCTGAGGACAGGCCTTCTCCAAATATTCCAGGATAAAAGACCAGAGCATATCATGACTATTGGTGCAAGAGACAGTGAGCTGAAATTGGAAAGTTAAGTTAGAAATTATAAAGGTAAGGTTACTAGAAAGCTAACAAAGTTAAACTCAACTCCTTACTTTTTTAAGCTAAACCTTAAAAAAGTAAGGGAGTTGAGAGATACTCATCCACCCTGAAAGTACCTTCAAAAGTGTGTTGAAAGTTAAAATAAATATGCCAGTAATTTAGCATGCATTAAACTGTTTTACTATGAACAGGGAAAATAATAAATTATAAAACTTCATAACTTATTTATCAAGAAACATAGCTTTTAATGATGCATGATAATCTATTCCTCAAGATAGTCCTTATCATTAGGCGATGGTTTCCGCTGACTGCATTTTCTGCTCAAGGCATTAGTATTTCTTTGGGTAGTCATGGGAACAAATAAGACCTTTCAAACACACTCTAATAAATCTCTGTAAGTTGAATTTATTGCCTTACTAAAGGACACCAAAGCATAAGCTTTGACATGTCCTTACACACATCCTCCTACATGCAAGTCTTGTAGGTTACTAAGAGAATGTTAATTTTTTCCATTTCTTTCCCACAGTATTATTTGCAATGTATGTACATAATGATTCTAGCTAAGGCTATGTACTCATCCATGCTAATCTCATGGCAATACCTGTC